TACTAGTGTGCAACTTTTCAACCATCCTTTGTAGGCAGAGTTAGGAGCCAAATGAAACAGATACATTTCAATGTAATAGTGTTCACTAACTTTTGCTTCCTTTGATTCAACATTAAAACTATGGATACAGATTTCCCCCCAGTCTGTGACTGTTTAGTATTAATTGTTTTCTCACAAACATGGATGATGAGATATGAAAACCAGATATGCAAATAAATGTATAGTTGCCATTAAATATATTGCAAGAAAATATATAAAACATGATTAGCTGATTTTGAACTCCACAATGCAAATACAAAAAACAAAAACTTATATAAATATATATAATTAAAACAAAGGACTACAATGATGGTCACAGACATCTATATCTTTTTTACTGAACTTCCCAACTGGCATTGGTGATCATGTCTCTACACACCTTTATTTAAAGATTAAAAGAAAAAAATTAATTTATGTACAAATACCTTTTCATGTTATGATATTAACACAGATACCAGGTTCTTTGTAGAAAGTCATTACCATCTTAAAGTAAATTCTGCTGTAAGACTAATTTCTCCTTCTTGTTTTGCCTCTCTCGCCAAGTATTTGCCAACTTAAATCTAATTTCTCCTTCTTGTTTTGCCTCTCTCGCCAAGTATTTGCCAACTTAAATCTAATTTCTCCTTCTTGTTTTGCCTCTCTCGCCAAGTATTTGCCAACTTAAATCTAATTTCTCTGCCTCCCTTGTCTAGTAATATCTAATAGAAGACTAATGTATCATTCTTCTATTGCTTCTCTCGCTCAATATTTGCCGACATACATCTAATTTCTCTACCTCTCATGTCTAGTAATTTCTGACATAAGATTAATTTCTCTTTCTTCCTCTGCTGGTCTCCCAGTAATTTAGATACAAAACTACTATCTCTTTCTTCTTCTGCCTCTCTTGCTGAAAACATTTCATCTGAAACATAATTTTAAATTATATTGTCAAGAAATAAAGTAGTTATGTTATATTTTTCTGTAAAGAAACAGAACTTCCATTATATTAATCTAAGCATAATGTAATCTCACATTGTAATGAAAATATAATGCTTTCATTAAAAATGCTGAAGATGAAGACATAGCACACTGCTTTCTTACCCCCAACAGGACTACAGGCTAGGTTATAGTAACCCATAAGTGCTTCATTCTACTTCTAACTCAAGCCTGAGTCTAAAGAATCTCAGCGCAGTGCAAGAACTACGTAGCACTGGTGAGGAGCCTGAAATACTTTGGGAAGATTTTGGACTGCAAATTTTGCCCGGGCAGCGCCATTAGGCTACTCTTTTTGAATTCCAACGGCCGAGGGATTTTTTTGTACATACGCCACAATACACACGTGCTTCTGATCTTATTACCCAGAGACCAGGGAAAATTACTAGAAGTTGATGTGAAAAAACCAAGCCTTCATCTAGGTCTGAACCCAGGATCTCCAGCACTCGAGGCGGATGTCATGTCTCGAGACCATGCAGTCCCTACAGACTAGACAACGCACGTGTAGCCATTTTGGGTGCCCCAATTATAACTTCTCTGGAAAATGAACAGGGTGTCTGGGATTAGCTCTGTTGGTCTTACCATTCAGACTGAGATCCTCTCATCTCAGTGTGTCATACCTTCAGGTAACAGTTCTGCAATGACTCTCTAATGTCTTCTATCTGGCTCTAGTCACTGCACGCTTCCATTCACTGACTGACAACACGCGAGAAAACATGGACACTGGCAAACGATCCAAATTACACCGCTTGTTTATTTGTTCACTCGCTGGTACTGCAGCCAGTAAATGTTATTGTACAACACAATCACTCATATCTATCCTCACTCATTGAAAAATGTCAACCATACCTTATAAAAACATTCCATCCAGCATTTGAAAGATAACAACGAGTCCATCTGATCAAAACACACACACATACTCAGCTGGCTACAACTTCTGTCAGCCGTTACTGTTGGCCAGGCAGGCGTTGGAAACCACTCTGCAGACATATTGGACTTGAACACTTTTTCTGGATCTAGCAGACACTCCATCATACTTCATGTAATCATTTCCTAGGCCTTAACGAGACTGCCCACCAGCTCTTTCTCAGGCATTATATAACCTTCTAATGCCCTCCTCGTGATCCCGAATTCTCCGTGTTCTCTGATTTACACGAATTCCATTTGGCCAGCAGTTTCTATGTGATCCCAGTGGATTTGGGCCAGTAATTCTTTGTGATTTACATGAAATTTGTCGGGTCAGCAATTCACGTGCTGTCCCAGTTACACTCAAAATATTCCACTCACATTTATTAACTGACATCATTCCATCTGGGACAAAATTTATCTAGGAGAAAATAGGTTCACTACAAGTTCAATGGGGAAAAAATAGATTGGGATAACAACACAATAAATAAATTACATTTTCTGAGACAGGGGAGAAATACTGTTCAACATAAAAATACTTTTCTCAACAAATAAATCAATTTAAGCTGAGATGGATTGTCAAATAAGAGATGATTACTTAACATTAGCAACTGTTGTCGTCAATGATACTTATTTCTTTGTGTCATAAATTTTTTTGTTTTTTTAAATGTTATTCTATGAGGGGGCTTAAAATGAAAACCTAAGAGCTGTGACAGAAACTGCAATAACTCTGTCACTGTCTTATAACCTGTCAATATTTTTGTCAAGATGTGAAGAGCACTAAGCATAGTGCAGACGAACACAATGATGTCATAATGACAGTTTAAAGATGACCACCCCACTTTTGACATACACTAAAGAGGAGCAGTGTTCAGTCATTGTTTTGTCTTCTTTTTTTTTTAAATCAATGCAGGGTTCAAGCCTATAGAAAAGTATCAGCCAATGAAGGTCCAGTATAGTAATGCATGCCTCTTAGTCCAACCAGTGTATGTGCGGAGTCAGTAGTTTCAAAATGGCATCTTTATAAGCAATACTGACAAGTTAACAATGTTTATTGTAACTTCTATCACAATTTTAAAATTTTTACTTGAAACCCCCTCATAGTACCCACACACACACAAAAAAAACTATTAGCTGAAAAGCATGGAAACATTCAATTAATACAATATAAACTTTGTATCAAGAAAATCACCACAGCTGAGAAGTAGAACTAGTAAGCTTCCCAATATAATGCAATCACAAAAGAAAAAACAACATTGCGGCTAAAGAACCTTCATCAGCATTGAAAAACAAGTACAATAATATAAAATACATAAAATGACGTAACAATTTCATGTGTGGGTCCCATGACCCATTTTTTTGGGTGGGGGCGGGCAGGAATCGACCCACTGCCCCCTAACGAGAATGTTGTAAAAATGACTAATGAGGGGTATGTTGAAATTGAATGTGCTGGCCCAAAAGGCAAGGATATTGCAGCCTAGCTGTAAACAACCATACAGTATCCTAACCACCCTTTTAAGGGTGATCATAAAAGAAGACACAAACGTCAGTTTTCCATTAAAAGCAAAATTAACATTATGGCAATAAAGCCTTCATCAGCACAGACACAAAAATACAGACAATACAACTCCACTGAGGACTGCAAACATTACAATATAACCTCAGGCTACAACTATAAAGTAAAAAAAAAGTAGAGTAAAGGACCCTTTCCATGCCTTTAGGCATATAGGGCTAGACCTATATTTTTACAGACCAAACGGCACAAGATGGATGATGTGGTCAGCATCACGCCGGCCGCCTTCACTTCCTGGGGCTGCACCCGGTACCCACTCAAGGCTGGTAACCACAAAGAAGCGAGGACATTCACAGAAATGGACTCAATCATTAAGCAAATAAAATATACATATTTTCTGTACTATAATTCCACACAGCAAAATGTATAAAATTGTTTTACAAATTAAGTCAGAAAAACAAAAACACGTTTGCCTTTGAATACAGACAACGAATACAAATTAAATAATGTACAAACAATGCACTGCACAATTTATTGCCTGGCATATTTCACTGTATCTTGTCATGTGCATTACTGGATGATAGAGCAAAATATGCCAGGCAAAAAACTGTGCCATGTATTGTTTGTGTCCACATTATTTAAATGTACAATGGGAAAATACTGTTTTGAATAAATACAAACACAAAAAATATGTACATCAATGAATAATTTACAAAACCCAGTTGTGTAAAAACCAGCAACATATGATACATACATTTTAGATTATAACGACTGGCTTATTAAAAAAAAAAAAAAAAATAACAACAACAAAAACCGCAGCAGCAATAATAAAAGAGGCAGATGAAGTTCATATTAGAGACAACATTGCAGATATAAATAATATAATCTATTTCAAGCCAACGAAAGAAGAAGAAAAGAAGCATATTACCGTATTTCCTGCGCATAGCGCATAAGATGGAATTTCCGCCCAAATTATTTTAAGTTCGAATTTAGAGGTCATCTTGAATAATGAATTTGTTTAAAATATTTATTTCTCAATCCTGAACTAAAAATGGAGTAGTCTTTTACATGGACCTGTCTTCTACATGGAAAAATGTGGTAACTCAATCAGTAGTAAACTATTTATTGAGAACCTGCTGGGTTCTACATATTTTTTTACATTTTTTAACATTCCTTTTAAAGATCTGACTTATCTGTATGCAGACTGTTGGTTCCTGATAGCTCAGGGAGATGCATTTCAACTTCGACTGAAATACTCCTATTTAATTGACTTTTACAACATCCGTGTTCTGGTGGTGAGTAGTGTGTCTACCTGCCCCCGTCTATGGGAGTCCTAGAACTCACACGGGGATATAAAAGTATACAATGTCAGTAGAAACTAACAAATGCATGATACTGAAAACATTAAAGCAATTAATCCAGCCATAATAAATCAACCACGAACAAAGAAGAAATGGATATAAGCATCTGAATGTACCTTTGTGAATTCAAAGAAAAGATTACAGAATACTGACAATAGGCTGACTGATTTTCAAGCTGAGGGTGGTTCTCAAATGGGTATGAGCTGCCATCAGGAAGGAAATGCCACTGAATTATAGCGCTCCCCACGTGAATGAGACCCACTGCGACGGTTTGCTTCTTGAGAGACTGTTCTATTATCTGAGTTTCCTCCGCTGCAGCATCGAAATTTCTTCTTGTTTGTTGTGCTCTTGAGTTGGATGGTACTGCCACTATGATGGGATAAGCCTGCTCCCATATCCTCGGGTGGTAGCAGTCGAGCTGCAACAAAGGTGAAGTCAGTAAATATTTATATAGTCCAGCTCATTGACTCACTGGGTTCAATTATCTTGTTACTTCAAAAATAGGACCTAGGTATTGTAGTTAATTTATTTTTATGTAGGTTCAAATAGTATGTTTCCCCCCAAAAACAGGAAACAGGTTTATAAAAAAACTTCTAGTGTGATTCTTCAGGGTGCTAGTAATATAAGCCCTACTATAAATAAAACCCTAGTTAGGATTGTCAGCTAGCTAGACAAATTTCAAATTGTCTCGAAGTAATGACTGTATAAATAAAATACTGACATTACTGTTTCAATTAAATTATTATTAGGTATTTGTTGGTATTTGCTGGAGAATTGGCATGAGAAAAAGAGATTTTTTAGTCTGCCATGAAGACAGTGACGTTCTGTGGCGAACCTGCTGTTTGAGGATGATTTGCAAATATCCAAACATCCACTTAAAATAAGCCGTAGGCATCTTTCTTAGAAAAAATGTATATACAACCTGTTTGGGTGGATGGGGAAACTTTCATCTTCTGCCTTTTCCCTAGATTTATTGCACTCATCTCAATTAGTTTTGTCACCAATCAGAACTGTGGGTACTTCAATTAGAGCATATCCCAACAACTGTGACTAACAAATAGAGTTTACGATGCATATTATTTTTATACTATCTGAGGTATGATCAGAATAATGTATGTAAGGAGTGAGGCTAAAAGGGAAGAATGTAAGAAATGCCTGCATGCCCAATTCTTAAACCACTGAAAATAAAGTTTGTTCGTTTGAATGTCAAATGGAACACAGGATTTTAATACGCACACACAAAAAGCCAAATCTGTAAAACAGAAGTGCATGCAAACAAGACTTGAACAAGACTGAAGTCCTGAAGTGGACGAACAACCAGAACTTTCTGCCGAAGTTTGGAATCAGTGAATGTGAATAAGAAGTAGAAGCAAACGCATAAATGGTCAACTTTTACAACAATGGGGAAAGGGGGAGCCTAGATCTCCTCCTCCCCCCACATGGGATCCTGAATCCCACACAAGGAAGATAATTGTTAACGGTGCAGAAATAATTCACATTATTCTTCTTTATGTTTAATTGCTGTAAACTCTGGCTGTTTGTCCACTACTGTTTTACAGATCTGGCTTATATCATGCAGACTGTTCGTTCTTTGCTTTTCAGGCAGATGCCCACTGACTTTGAAGCAAGCACCCCTAATTAGTCAACTTTTACAACAAGTTAGTCAGAGGGGAATTCCCATTTCAACGTACCAATGGCATCAAACAGCTCTGCGACGTTAACTGCGGTCATTGCACTAGTTTCGCAGAACACAGCACCAATTTCCCGTGCGTATTCCTGAGCATCTGAGAACAAACAATAAAATTAACCTCTCATAACATGCATAAAAGTTTAAAAATTGGTATCCAAAATAGCGTTGACTGTAGTCGAGCTGATTTCAAGAAAAAAATTTACATAAACTATGATCAAAGGTCTTTATAAAAAAAAATAGGAGACCTATTTTTAGCACTTATGTGTGATTACAAGAACTATTGGAACCATACCCATCGTTAAATTTATTGAGAAGCAAAGAATGAAATGGTTTGGTCACCTAATGAGAATGGAACCAACGATGCCAGCATCAAGAGCATACAACATGAAAATCGAAACACCAAGAGGCAGGGGAAGACCAAGAAGAAGATGGATTGAAGGAGTCACGGACAACTTGAGACTTCATAACATCACGGCATATGAAGCGACTGAGCGCGCCCTGGCTCGGTTGCCGATCATCTGATAGACTGCGACGCCTAGCGGCACAAGCAGATTTTGACAAAAGAAGAAGATGTGTGACCTCTGTTCATGGTGTGGTTCAGTTAGTTGCAACCAAACATGAAAATGAGGGTGCTGAGTGGTCTCGAGGTATGGTGTTCACCTCAAGTGCTGGAGGTCCTGGGTTCAAGCCCCGGTGAAGGCTGAGATTTTTTCCTGTGGACTTCTAGTAATTTCCCTCTTGTCTCTGGGTAGTAAGATCGGATGCCCTTGAGTATTCTTGCGCATGTAAAAAAATCTCTTGGCAATTGGAAATCAAAAAGAGTAGCTAACGGCGCTGCCCGGGCAAAATTTTGAGTTAAAAATCTATCCAAAGTATGTCAGGATCATCACCCGGTGCAACAGAGTTCGTGCACTGCACTGAGATTCTTCTGACTCAGGCTTGGGTTAGAAGTATATGGGTTACATCAATAAACTTAGTAGCTCAGGCAGCAAAACCTTAGACTGTCATCCAAATGTGAAAACTGCATTAGCAAAGTGCTGCTGGAGGCAAAAATAACTTCAAAGCTCAACATTCTGCCATGCCTAGTCCTTCACTTTAGACTGTTCTAAATATAATTTTTATATATCTTTATCTACCGAGGTGAGAAAGAGTGTATTTAACTACATGTAGCCAGCTATGCTAATGGATGGAAGTAAAGGCAGGTCTGCAGACTGGTGTCTAAATAAAGAAACTGTCAAGCTGTGGTTTCATAAAAGAATTATGAGAATATAGTAAGTTAGTTAATCAGTTAGTATCCTTGGTGTATCCTTTACAGGGCATTGCAGAATTAACCCCAGCATGATAATTACGAAAGGTAAAGAGCATAATGATGATGATGTGAAAGATATTAACTCACAAAGAGAAATAATAACCCTCAACAGAAAAAGACTATTAAGATTTTCTTAAGTACATCATGAGAAGATGAAAGCTGGAGTATATCAGAAAAGAAAGAGAACCATGTGAGAACATATGAAAAAATCTGAGACAGTCTGGCATCATGGCATTGAGAAACTATGTATATTAACAAACAAACAAATGACTGACAGTAGATATTACGGTTGGCAGAAAAGATTACTAAAGCGACAAGGAATGAACAATAAGAAGAAAATAATTTCTTATAATAATGCGATAAAAAAAAAATATCCAGCTTGCCCTTTTCTCTGACTTCTCTCAGGTCTTCTAGATCACATTTATTTCCTGCTATGGCTAAAACAATTTTGGACGGCCCATGTCTCTGAAGCTCTTGAACCCAGCTTTTCACAGCATGAAAGGATGTCTGCATCAACAAACAAGTCATACTTTGTTAAATATATTAGCTGAATATAGAAAAGTTATATTATTAATTACACAAGGAGCTTCTTCTTCTGCTTAGTGTTCATTGGCTTTAAACTCTTTTGGAAAGTTCTAGTTGCTCGTCCACTTCTGGACTTTGGTCTTGTTCCAAGACTTGAGTTTGGCATGCACATCCATTTGACAGATGTGGCTTATTTTTATGGAGACTGTTGGTTCCTCGCCTCTAAGGCAGATGTATGCAGACTTTGAAGGAAGGTAGTGTAGAAGCAAGATGCTACTTGCCGGGTTGAGATTCTAGGGTTGAAACCCACTTTGAGGCGGATTTTTAAATACTGACCTTCGCTCCTGCATTGACCCAGCCTAAAATATATACCAGATACCGGAGAAACAGAGATGGTCAACTTGATGTTCACAATATTCCCCCCCCCCCCCATATATATAAAATTATAGGTCTAGTACTATATGCCTGATGTGCGTAAGATAAGAAAAGGGTCCTTTACTTATTTACATATTCATAAAGATAACTATGTTTATGACAGTTTCATTAGCTAGCAATATTATTAGCTTAAGGTTCAGAGTTACAAAATACTCATCAAAACTTCAGCTATAAAACTGTCAAACTTCTTCTTGTTCTTCTTCAAAATTCACTGGCTGTAAACTGGCAGAAAGTTCCGGTTGTTTGTCCACTTCTGAACTGAAGCCTAGTTTCAGAACCTGAGTGCTGCATGCACATCTGTTTTACAGATTGGACTTATTTGTATGCAGACTGTTGGTTTCTTGTCCCTCAGGCAGAAGCACCCTGACTTCAAAGGAAGCGCCCAATTATTCGACTCCTACAACATGCTTGTTGGGGAGGCAGTGGGTCTTTTCCTGTTTTTCCCACAATGGGGCCCAGGAACCCACTCGGGGAACTATCCAACTAGCTTTCAGTAACAATATTTACTTAAACTGACAGTAGTAACATTACAGCCTAACCTATACAAGTAACATTATTTTTGTTTGTTAGTAAGCAATAGATTATCCTCAGTGCACACAGAACCATCAGTCAAGAAGTACCCGATCCCCTCCTCAGTAAATCCTGCAACAGGTAGCGGCTACCAACACCAGTTCTGTGATAAGTTTCTTTTCTTCTGTGACTTCCTATATGCTGTTTTTGTCTGGCAAAACCTGATTCTCTCAAATGTCTTACTTCTCATGGGAAAAATCATGTATTTAAAACATACCAATGATTAATGAAGACTATCACCACATGTTACTATAAGATTAACATCCAGTAATAAGAACTCTAACAATTAGTAAAAAGAAGACAAAGACTATGGTGCAGGATGCTAAAGATGCAAGACCTACAATTGTTATTGATGGTTCAGAACTGTCTCCAGCTGATTATTTCACATACACTGGATCTTGAGTCAATAATAAACTACCATAGAACCAAGAAACCAGCATGAGAACAGGTAAGGCAGCAACAGCAAGGAGAACATTAACAAAAAAGTATGAGGAAACAGAAAGCACACTGTTAAAACAAACACCCTTGTTTAACAAGCCTGTGTCCTCAGCACTGTTCTGTATGGTAAAGAAAACTTGGTCAGCTTACTTCTACCAGGAAAAACGGCTAAATGGTGTTCTTCTTCTTAGCCTCCACCCGCTGTAAACTTCGGCGGAAATTTACGGTGGATCATCTATTACTGGACGTTTGTCTTGTTCCAGGACGTGAGTTTTGTGTGCACATGCAGTCTACAGTTCTGGCTTATATGTATGCAGACTGTTGGTACCTCACCTCTCCCGCAGATGCACTTCAACTTCGATGGAAACTCCCCTAACTGGTCACCTTGTATGAAATGCTTGTTAGGGAAGCAGTCAAACTATTTTTCCCTGCCAGAATGAAGCACTGGAACCAGGGCTCCCAATGCTGGGTCCCCCCCCCCCCTCCCTGATCTGGGTTTTTATTTGACGCCTAGGGGAAAACTGTTTTTTTTTTTTATTAATATATACTTATATAAAAGTGGTAAATGTTTTGTTTCGTAAATATAAATTTTGTAAATTTTAACAATCTAGGTTTTTTATTTTGTTTTTTTTTGTTCTTTGTCTTTGTATTGCTTGGGTTTTTAATAAAAATCCTATTGGCAGCCCTGCCTGGAACCCACGTGGGGATAAACAGCTTTGAAATATTATGTCTATGAAAAATACTTGGTATCAGAAAGTAAAACAATATTGTAAACACTGAGGCACTGACAGCAGTAGTTACCAGGCCTGTTTTCTCAATGCCAAGTCTCTGAAGGATCAGATGGCCAGGACACACTCAGAGGATGCAGGATAAGTGAGTTAACAACAACATCAAGTACCACTCTATAATCTGCAGCCCTGTGCAGGAAACAATTTGTTTTCTGCCAGTAGTAAAACGCAAGTGTAAACTGTTTTTAGCAATACTACTATTGGCCTACCTCTTGTGTTACATCATATACTATTGACCTACCTCTCCTGTTTCATCATACACTATTGGCCTACTTCTCGTGTTACATCATACACTATTGACCTACCTCTCGTGTTACATCATACACTATTGGCCTACCTCTCGTGTTACATCATACACTATGATTGCAGCTGCTGACCCACGATAGTACATCGGAGCAAGGGCACGGTACTGAAAACAAAATTCATGCTTGTTACAAACATAGCACTGTTTTCAACCGACAGTTCTATGGGGTGTCAATGAGTTCCTATGCACAGGGGGGAAAACATATCACGAACAACACTATTACAAGCGTAACTCCAGCTGGGCTTAGACATGTTCTTCAGCAGTAGGGGAGAGGCATCGAAATGTGATTTCAAAAAAATGTCATGTAGAACATATAGGTAAAGGTCCCTTTTACACACCCTTAGGCGTATAGGGCTAGACCTTTATTTTTTATAGACCAATCAGAACAAGATGTGTGATGTCGTCATGCCGGCCGTCTTTACTTCCTGGGACTGCACCCGGTACCCACTTAAGGCTGGGTCGACCTGAGAGTCAAGGTAATTTTATTTTAAAGTCTGGCTTTGCTAGGGAGCGAACCCACAACCTTCTGATCTGCATGCAAGCGTCTAGCCGCTATGCCACAGCGACTCCCATGTAGAATATATTATTTAAATAAAAATGGTCTTCATAAAAAAATATTTAAAAATTATATGTATGGAATTGCTAGCAGTCGAGCCTTTCTGAATGATGGTTCTAAACAGAGTCTCTCTTGTTCTTCCCCATCTTCTTTTCCCTACCGGTGTCCATATGAGAGCTTAATAGGGAAGTCTTGTCTTATCCATTCTGAGTGCATGGCCGATGGAATTTAACATATTTTCTTGCTTGGTCTCTTGTCTTATTTGCGTATTGGATCTGAAATCTATCAATTAGAGATTTAGTATTCTTCTAAGACATATGTTCTCAAAATTGTCTATTTTTTTTTAACAAGAGCTACCGTTGCTTTCCAGCTCTTCCGTCCATAAGTTAGAACTGGAATGATACAAAAGTTAAAGTTTCATGTGTTTGCTGAGTGTCTTTGAGTTCCAGATGTTTGACAGTTTGGAAAAGGTACTAGATGCCAGTACGATTGTAGATGATATTTCTGGCGCTGAGGATTCTGCCTCATATGCTTTCAATCATTTCTGACGCAGATGGTCCTCCATGCCGTGGTGTCAAACTGTCCAGCACCTTCTCTCTTGGTCTCCCTCTGCCTTTTCCCACCATCATTAGGTACTCCAGTTTCCCACTTCTCATGAGATGACTAAAGAATGTAGATTGTCTCCTTCTGATGTGGGCAATCAGTTCTCTTTGTGGGTCAGTTTATTTCAAGACCTTTTTATTCCTCTTTTTATCAGTCCCTCTATAAAACCTCCATTCATGCAGGTATAATAATATATATGGGATCAACTCTTATAAGTATACACAGTCTGAAGGCTTTCACAGTTAACTAATATTCTTCTAGCCAAAATACAACTTAAATGGTATGCAACAGAAACAAAATACAAGATGGCTGGCTAGTTGTGAAACATAGCACAGGTGTAGTTGAATTGTAGCACATGTGTAGTCAAACTTGAGCACATGTGTAGTCAAACTTGAGCACATGTGTAGTCAAACTTGAGCACATGTGTAGTCAAACTTGAGCACATGTGTAGTCAGACTTGAGCACATGTGTAGTCAAACTTGAGCACATGTGTAGTCAAACTTGAGCACATGTGTAGTCAAACTTGAGCACATGTGTAGTCAAACTTGAGCACAAGTGTAGTCAAACTTGAGCACATGTGTAGTTGACTGTAGCACAACCATTGCTGATTTGCAATATAAGCATGGCTGAGATAAATGTAGTTGAACTACGGCATAAGTGCGGTTGAACTTTACCACAAGTGTGAATTGTAGCACAACTATGGTTGACTTATAGTACAAATGTGGTGGAATTAAAGCACAAGGGTGGTTGAATTGTAGCAGGTGTGGTTGAATTGTAGCAGGTGTGGTTGAATTGTAGCACAAGGGTGATTGAACTTTAACATACATGTGGCTACATTTTAGCTTAAGTGTGGTTAATTACAGTAAAAATATTGTTGAACATGTTAAGCTGAAATACAGAGTAAATGTTGAATAACAGTACAAGTATGATTGAAATACAGCAAAAGCACAGTTGATTACAGTGTAAGTATAGTTAAACTGTAAACAGAATCAAGATGCCAACAAGCAAGTTCACCAAGTATACCAACCCACACCGTTATTAAAACATCCAAACATAAGTGAGCATGAGCACCAATAAATAGATTATAAACAGCATATTCATACCAACACTGTGCTTCCAGTGCCAGACTTGGAAATTATCAAAGGCTAACCTACATAAAATTTACACCTGTGAAATGAGATGTCAGAGAAGAGCTACCAATTTAACCATCCGAGACAAAAGTAAGAAATGATATTATCAGACAGACTGTAAGAACAACCACCAAGCAGCAAATTCATTGAGAAACAGAAGATCAAATAGTTTGGTTATTCAGTAAGAATACAGCCAGAACTACTAACTACCAATGCAGGTGCTACACATGAAAAGATCTAAAGTGAAAGCAAGAGGCGGCTCTAGGAGAAGATGGATTGATGACATTAAAGAGCTTTTACATAGACAGGGAATAACAATATCCATTGCTGCCCATCAAACAATGGATTGCAAACTTTTCCTTCCCATGATGCTTAATGACAGAAGTGGAAACTTATGAACTGATTGATATATTCATAGTAAAACTGTAGTATAAGTGTGACTGAACTGTGGCATAAAAATAGTTTTACAATAGCACATGTGTGATTCCACATGTGGAAATGGCTTGGCCACGTTATGAGAATGAATGCTGATATACCTGCCAAAACAGCTCTCATATGGACACCAGAGGGAAAGAGAAAACAGGGGCGCCTAAAAACAACATGGAGACGAACGATGGAAAGTGACCTGAGTGTGGCATCTTTGACATGGAAAACTGCATTGAAGATTGCACAGGACAGGAAAGCATGGAAAGTCCTCTCTGAAGCCTCATGTGTCACTAGGCATAACGAGAACTGATGATACATGTGTGATTGGATGTGTAGTATATACTTGAAAGAAAGTTTATTTCATGGTGTAGGTCACATTGAAGTTGTAAATAACAAAAGCTGACCTTTTCCTGGCCAGCGGTGTCCCAGATTTGAAATTTATACGTACTTTCATCAACATAAATGGTCTTGGTCATAAATGAAGCCCTTTAGTGAAAGACAGAAAGCAAAATAAATTATATTGCTGAATTTTAATGAAGAATGGTAGTAATATGGTTTTAAAATGCAAAATTCAATATTTGGAGCAATATTTGTTAATTGTATTTATTTGAACAAGAGAAAGACTAATTCAGCTGGGGTTGAATAGAGGTTCTGGAAGATACTGAACACTGAGAGGGAAACAAAGGCAGAGCTTAAATCAGGTTGCAACTTGGACTATTAGCATATTGACTCTTCGTTGGCTACTGAAGATGAGGATGGAGCGCATAGGGGCATGTCCTGAGTGCCGTGATATCAATTCTTGATTCATTCATTCATTCAGATAGGCTTTTTTTTATGATTCACACAGCACCTAGATATTGTAAAGAATCCTAGAATTAGATATCATTTGTGCAGAGAAAGAGAGAGACAGAGAGAAAGAGAGAGAACGTGAGGGAGAGAGAGAAAGAGAGAGAGAGAGAGAGAGAGAGAGAGAGGGAGAGAGAGACAGGGCTATCATCATGTAGGTCCTTTACAGAGCATCGCTCTCGTCAGTCTTCTTGGTAGATATTTGGTCTCCCACCTTATGCACTTTCTAATACAAGGTGCCATTTCAAGTCCTGGTTGTTCGTAAATTTGGTCTCTGGCTTTGGGCCAAGGCCTCAGTTTTGCGTGTATATCCGTTTTACTGGCTTACTTGTGTGCAGTTGGTTGTTCTCTGCTGCTCGGACAGATGCATTCTGACTTCAACTAAAGTCCCCAATTAGTCGACTACTATGACATGCTTGCTGGGAAGACAGTGGGTCTATTCTTGCTTTCCTTACAAGGTGGCCCCAGAACCGAGACGGAAAGGCAGGTGCCATGTACATCCTGTGCCCATCTTTGTGCTGGTTGGCCCCTGCCCCTCTTTTCTGGTACCATGCCTTCTGCCTTAAGTTTTTTTTTTCCCACTATGGCGCTTGATAAGGCCAAAATATTTCAGTTTCCAAGACAAAATGTTTACTAGTCAATATTCATTGATGTTCAAATCTTTAAGATATCAGCATCTTTTATCTTCTTTGTCCCTGGTATTCTGAGAATCTTTATATAGCATTTCAGCTTATAAGCCCATATTTTCTTCCTTAAGGTAGTCCATGATTCACATCTGTACGTCGCTGCAGGGAAGATGCATACTCTCAAAATTATCATTTCCTTGATGGTGCTTAACCATAGACTTTAAATGCTATTGAACTGATCAGGCCATATAATGAACGCAGAAGCAGAAGAAGACTGGGCCATATCAGATAAATTCGGTATAATGAACTCATTCTCTCAATGCTAAAATAATTCAACCCCTAATGCTAAAATAAAGTCAGGGGTCATAACAAGAAACGTATTTCTAAAGGAAATGTTCCACAAGCGGGTTCCAGGGCCCCATGTTGGGATGAAAAAGAACAGACCCACTACCTCCCAACAAAAATATCATAAAAGGTGACTAAATAGGAGTTTGTTGGAGTTAGACCCCTTGAAAAAAAAAAGGAGCAGTTATCACATCCTAGCTTTAATACACAACATAGTGTGCTAACTGGATGAATGCAGAAGAAGATTAAAATTTTAGAGGGTGGTAAGACTGGGTTTCCCGGCTTTCTGATGCTTTTAACCACCCAAAAACATCTAAAACTGGCCCTTACCTCAACCTATCTACGTCCCATGAAAGAGTTCAGTCTAGGTCCCACAACTGCATGCAGCCTATCTACCACCCCCTGAAATATTAAATTTTCCACTGACCTGTGGATTTCCCCTGTTTGGGGTAGGATATTAATAAAGCACCAAAACTGCTGACAAAGAAGTTTGGTGATCTCTCTCTAGCAAATCTCTACACCTCAACGTAAAAGTGGAGTGACTAAGTAAGTAATTGCCCAGCAGTTAAATGTTACTACATGTACAATATATGCGGTCTTTAAATATATGCAGCAGCAAAGTTTCGCGTGGAATTTAAAAAACCAGTATAAATATTTCGATACAAAATTTATTTAGACACAAAGAGACTTAAACAAGTTAAATGTGATGTATGAAGTTACTACAGGTGCTCACTGATTAATGTTTAATTCAGAATTGACATCACACCACTTGGGACATTTCCATAAGCGCTCTGTCCCCATCTTCAGCAGTAAGCGCAGAGTTTCAATTCCAGTGGTACCAGTAACCCTCTGATTGTATATAAGTCTTACCTTTCCCGTGAGTGCTGATCATCGACCAGATCCCCTGGTTACTCCTCACAGTACCATTCTCCTCAGACCATGATGATCCATCTGTACTCCCGCACTTTTCATTCGCCGCCCGAGGTGCCCTTAAAACATCTAGCTTGCTTGTCAGGCATCAATTCATGACCGAGTTGTTTATAACCAGCCAGTCTATCTGCCTGTTTATTTTCTGATACACCGACTTTCCAGAGGAAAATATCCAAAGTATGATAACTACCCGGGATCTCTGAAGTGATGCTTGCCACTCTTCATGGAGCATACCAGTGTCCGCCTTTCTGAACATGCTCTGTTAATGGTTTGCAATTACGACATGTGTGTACAGCTGATCCTAAAGCCAGTGAAAGGTGCAGTGACTGCCTCCACCTCCATTTTCAAACTAGATGTTGTGGTATCATATGCCAGGCTTTGCTGCACTAAGCAACAACCATTCACTCTTGCTAAGAACCCCTATAAGCTATGTCCGCCTCTCAACTCATAACCATCTGTATTATTTATCATATCATCCGAGCAAGAACCGTCAAAAATCATTTGTCGAACTTCTGCAGCATCCACTGACCAGTCCCTTAAATCACAGCCAAGTGAGATAAGAACCCTACACAAGTCTGACTTTTGCTGGGACATTCTGACCTACTCCTCACCTCACTCAAATTGATCAAGCCTGCACACATGTCTAATTGTGTCCAGCTTGCGCCATCCAAGGTCTTCCTCTTTTCGGTCTGTGACCATTAGCTCTTTCTAAGGCTTCATGCAGGAGGTGCTTCTTGTCTGCGGCTACTTTCAGATATGACTTAGCTTGCAGCACTTTGAGCCTATCTCTAATAGTCGGCAGTGAAAATATATATCACATACATACTACTGAACATCGCATAATTACCCGAATGGTTTCATTTTGTATGCTTTCAAGTTTCATTAGCGGACACTTTGATCTGCTAAGCATTCCAGTCAATAATCTATCACCAACAGGATAACATGCTGAAACATTCTGAACAGCATTCTTTGTTCATATCCACGGCTGCCATATTTCTAAGTGTACTGAGTCTTTGTTAGCATTTTGCCACAACTGCCTCCTTATCATCCCTGAAGGAAAAGCTTTTATCGAAAGTGACACCCAGGTACTTCAGTTTGCTTTCTTTTTTAATGTTTATATCCTTAATTGTGGATCTGGAACATCAGCTATTACAATTCTTTTGTGCAGGGAGTGCCATAAAACAGCCACCTTTTTCTGGGTTAATGACAGCCTCCATTTCTGCACACCAGTCAGACACTGTGTCGACAGTTGCCTGTAGTTCTTAGGCTATCCGTTGCTTTTTCACTCCCCTGCAAGAACATCATCTGCAAATGTCAATATCCTTCCAACACCTGGTGCTTAAAGATCTGCAAGCCTGCTTGTGTTACACTGAAGAGTACTGGTGAAATTGCAAAACCCTGGGGTAATCTCAGGGTTTTATTGCAAGCTTCTTAGGTCCATGCTCCCATGTGGAGGGTGATTTTACGTGAATGCAGGACAGCTGCTATCCAGTTCACCAGCCAGGGACACACCCCCTTCTCCATAAGCACAAATATCCCATTAGTAGACATTTATGCGCCATATTGTGTTGTTGACTGCACCCGGAGACGCTAGCATCATGCTGTTTACGTAATTTTTTAAAAACCATCATACAGCATATAGCGACCATAATTCAATTTAAATATGGTGGAATATGTCGGGTAATCATGACATTTTTAAACAAGTAGCCTCTATGAATATAATGAATATGTTCATGCATTTCAATGGTGGACAATTATTATGCATACATTTTTGGGGGGGCTACCTCTGTATATACTTACTATGACAGGATGTGGAAATATGTTGCATTCTAAATGATACAGCTGGGGAAAAAAACTGATGTGATTAAATATCATACCCTATTGTGCTTTCCAATGCTTTCTTGAATTTCTCAGTTACAAATCGCATCACAATACTCGATTTACCAACACCAGATTCCTAAACACCAACAAACGAAAGAAAAAAAAAAAATAACAAATCATTCAGATAACATGAGGTTTGCATGTGATACTCAACTGAAACCACATACCCACTGTGCTTGACGTGGAGCACGCTGATAAAGACTTGGGTCAGAGCTTGACTGCTTCTGTGCACGCTTTTTTCCTGGTCATAGTTCAGTGGAATAATTTTCAACTAGAGTCAGTGGTGCCTCGGAATTCGCACATATTCCATTCCAAGACCACATTTAAATTACAAATCGTTCGAGTTCCAATGCGGAGGAAGGAAGATTATTCTTTAAAATGCGAGTCACCTTCCAGGAAAACACCAGAAATCCTTTCTAGTGTTTTATTTTAATTGTTCATTACATGTAGAGGGTTTGGTGTGCCTAGTTTTTGTTGACAGCCAGTGTTTCAAAGTGCTCTAGTGTTCGTGACCATTTTCAATTGTTTTCAAATGTTCTATGTTATCGTTTAATAAATTTACACACCTATTAATTAAGGCTCTTTCGGGGAGCCACCTCTTAACAACTTCTTGAGTTTTCAATTATATGGTAAAAGATCTTTTATCTCAGATGTGCTTTTTCTTCTACTCCAACCCATTCTTCCCCTTTTCCGAAAGACATTTCTTCCTTCTAATGCCGGTGAAGGGCTGAAGGCTTCCAAGGCAGCATTTGAGTTCCAATAAAAAATTTTACTGGAAATATTTTTCAGATTCCAAGTTGTTCAAGTTTTAAGTTATTCAGATTCTGAGTTACCACTGTAAAGATCAATATCAGAGGAAAAATTTGCAAGTAGAAAAGTTAGAGACAGACAATAACACAAACTGGAGGATAACACCAAAGGTAAATAAACAGCAGGCTGACAGATAGTAACAACCAGGACAAGAAGATGAACATGCACTGCAGCAAACCTTTATTACATTAAAACTGGCATGATTTAAACTGATCTGCGTGCTAGTGGTCACATCTATAACTCAACTCTCACTGGCACAGGTTGTTTAATTAATGTCTATTAAAAGACCTCAGAGATGTGGTTTTACAGAAGAATGCTTAGAATACCTTGGACAGCCAAAAAAGAACAACCAAATGGTTTTGAAAGAAGTGGGATCCCAAAGACAACTTATCACAGACATCAAAAGGAGACTGTCATCATTTTTCGGCCATGTTATGAGAAGAGGGAAATGTTGTGACCACTGAAAAGATCCGTGAAAGGAGGGATAGAGAAAGACAACGAAAGAAGATTCTTGACAGTCTTGTTTCATGGTGTGTCGACACATGAACTGATAGATGCTGCAAGAGATCGTGGATTATGAAGAGGCATGATCGCCCACGCCAGTCGGCAAGACACCTGATGATGATGACGATTAAAAGAAACGTGGACCTAAACAGCTGAACCTGAAGATACAAGCATTAGAAATTAAACTTTTCAGAAACATTCTTGGCATATTATACAAAGACAACATCACGAATAACGATGTTCATGGTATAAATATCCAGCACGTTGGTAACTATGAACCTCTTTCAACTTTAGTGAAATGACAGAAGATGCAATGGAACAGACATGAAAAAAGATCTAATGACCTCTCAAAAACAATACAAGGGCTAGGAAGAAAGGAAGAGGAGAAGAGACAGACCAAGAAAAACCTGGTTACAGAACTTGATTGATTGGACAGGCCATAGGCATGCAATCATGAAGTCCATCGCAACTGAACGCCAAAGGTGGAGGGAGCTGATTTGACAGTCAAGAGCATATGGTGACCCAATGACACACAGTGTTACGGGGTGATGATAGTGAAAAGGGCCTTTCATTGTTATCATCTACACAGATAAGTTTTCCACAGATTAGCTAACCAAAAAGTCAATATATCTGATTGAAACTTTCATAAAGAATGAGGTACTACTGAATCAACTTTAGTCAATATTATGCAAAACAACTTTATAACAACACATTTTGTTAACATATCCTGCAAGGCTAAATTATCTCAACAAATATGCAACTCAACTTACGACTGAGTTCCATTCTGACTAACAGATCACAAGTCAAACTGATATTTTTCAACACTAGTTTTATTCCACAGGTTACTGGAAACACAAAAATAAACTTCTGTCCCTGTAACCACACAAATAAACTGAGGGGGAATGCTTGAGGCTGATTAAATATTTTATATATATATATAAAATAAACAGCCAGACAATGTATGAATCTGCACTTATAGAAAGAAGCAGAAAGATAGAAGGACACACTAGACAACTTAACAATCAAAAGCTAAAGTTACCATGGTGTGTGCGCCTTGCTATGGAAACAAGTGTACTAAGAACATGACAAACTAGGCACCCCTAAAAAAACAGGGTGTCTTCTTTGGCCATGTCTATCATACAGCTTGAAATCCATAACTATGGAATACGGACAGAATTAATCTCAAACCATTGAAATAGTACAACAGGTTAAATAAATTTATACTGACCAAGAACATACCAGTCAACAGAAGAAGGGAATAATCAAATAAATGAGAATGCCACTGAAACTGACACAAGACGATTACCATATTATGGACAGACCAGAGTAAGTCGCCTTAGAACAGGGCATAATCGACTTCGCTGCCAGGTGTACACAAAATTTAAGATTGGCGAATCAGCCATGTGTACCTGTGGACTGTCACCTGAGACAACAGATCACATCCTCCAAGACTGTCCCAGATTCAACTCTTCCAGGCAAAACTTCTGACCAAAAGAGACACTTGTGGAAGTCAAACTTTACGGGCCACTAAGGGAATTACAAAAGACAAGTGAAGTTCATACTAGAGACAGCATTGCAGATATAGATAATTTATTTCATGGAACGAAAGAAGAAAAAGAAATACTGACCAAGAGTACGTCGATTAACAAACACAGCAACAATTTATGAACACAGCAGACCCTAATACTTTGCCTATAATACATGAACATTTAAGACAAAGCTTCTATAACCACAGCGTGTTAACTGCCATTTTAAGGGGGAACGCAGAGAAGCAATGTACTGTCAGTATTTACTTTTTGGGGCGCTGTAGAAGTGGTGAGCCTGAGGTTTTAGGGCCACGTGGCTGTCATCACAGTCTGTGTGCAGGCTATGATGTATGATGCTGCCCCCGACAGAAAAAAAAAGTTGAAAACTCCATCACCTTACCGGGGGTCGAACCCGGGTCTCCTGCGTGAAAGTCCAACGTTCTAACCGCTCCTCGTAATGCTCAGCATTATTATTCGCTGACTGTTTCGTGATCAACAACCTAACCTTCAATAATATTACTGGTTCCGCTGGATTGAATTTTTATTTGAAACAATGATAATATAACTGTAATCAAACAACTGTCACTACTAATACTTGCCCCAAGAAGACAAACTTTGACATCTCTCATTGACATGGTGGGTGATGATTTTTAGTTTAGTTTTAGTTGTCACACATGATGTCTACATTTACATATCAAAACCTCAGGGATGTACTAGTTCTCGGTAAGTTTTTTGCAAGTGGGCTTTCTATTCTTGAAAACAAAATGTAAGTGAAGACACAAGGAGACTATGACTCAGAAAGAATGGGATGAATCAATGATTCGATTCTCCTTAACAGCGCCATTTTGTCCCTTGTTATGGTCACATGACCTTCCGCTCCACTGCTCCCGTTCGGTAAATTACGTAATGGCCATAAGGCTTATGGTAAGCTTATGGCTTATGATAAGCTGGGTACATGACCGACTGTATTTCTTCTCGAACATGATCAAGATCTGGAGGGCTCGTGCACACCTCAAGATAAGCTCAGATCTGAAGCACCCTTTGCACCACATGCTCTTCAAGAAAAAGGACAAAAGGCTTAAAAGGGGCAGATCATGGCTGGGTAGGGCAAAGGATGACATGCAGGTTTGCAGCCTTACAGGTGAGGAGTGGACACCAGCGTCTAAAGCACCCAGTCTCATATTCTTATGTGTCGTGACTCTCGATAGGAATTGTCGGGAGCAGAATCCAGCTGCTGTCAATGCCGAGGTATGCGTGCTTATCAGTGATAAGTGGTGATCTTCACAGATGGGTCCGTTATACGAGGACATAAGAGTGCATGGGCATTTACAGCTCGCTCTTTAGGCAGAACAGTTCAGGAAGCCAGCGGTGCCTTCTCCATGACCACCAGCAGCATGACGATGGAGGTGATGGCGGTGACACAGGCTTTCACGTGGCTGTGATCACAGGACTATTCCCGCATGTGTGTGCTGAGTGATTCTTTGAGCATGATCCGGCGGGTCGAGGCAGGCTGGTTACGCAGACAGTGGCTTGAGTCGTTGCAAAATTCTTCTGTGTGTGCAGTTACTTTCATATTTATCCTATGGCATGCAGGCGTTGTTGGTTATGAAAGAGCCGATAGACTAGCAGCAGGTGCTGCATTAATTGAAGGTGGCCTGCCCATGGATCACGCAGACAATGTCATTGCCCTTAGAGAGATAGGACGTTCTGAGGATTTTGGAAGCAACGTGTCCACATCACTGCTAAGAATACGCGAACTGGGAGTAAGGATCGGCACAGCCAAGCGTGAGAAGCACACCGGACGCATACGAAGTCTTGTTAACCAACATAGGACTGGTACTATTAACCGCACGACGCTGATGAATATGTTGAGAGGGGAATCTGAGTGGCTATGGATGTGTCCTGAGTGATAATCTAAATCATAACTCTTTTCGCAGGACTCGCCTGGTAGGACACATTCAGACATGGCTGTCGAATTCTTTTGGAAATAGCACCAAATATTTTTTTGAAGTGGAACCAAATTTGTAAATTTTAATTGAGAAAACCGTTGAAATGTATGTAAACACACACGTATGTATGTATGTGTGTCTGCATGCATGTATGTATATATGTATGAGGCACAGACTGATGACAACGGTCAAAGGAGAATGGTGCTGCGGGGAGTGACAAGGGGATCTGGCCGCCGACGGTCAACATCAGGGGAAAGGTGAGGCAGGTATACAGACTGTTACTAATGCCATCAGAACCAGAATTCTGTGCTTGTTGCTGGTTGGGGGACGGCGTGCTTATGGTAATGTCTAGAGTGCTGTGATATCGTTTCTCAATTCCCGGTGATGGTTCCTGGGAAAACAAGAATAGACGTACTGCCTGCCCAAAAGCGTGTTGTAAGAGTTCACTAATTGGGAGCTTTGTTTGAAGTCGGAGTACATCTGCCTAAGAGGCAAGAAACCAGCGATCTGCATGCAAATGAGTCAGACCTGTAAAACAAATGTACACGCAACACTCAGGTTCTGTAACGGGACTAAAGTCCAGAAGTGGGCGAACAACTAGAACTTTCTGCCAAAGCTTACAGCCGGTGAACGTGAAGAAGAAGAATTCTTAATGAAAAATGAAACATTAATTGATTTGGGGGGTGGGCTGGGGGAAGACATCAGATATTATTTTATTTATCCTATTTACCATGTCTGGTGAATGTTATTCCCAGAAATTAAAACCTAGTTGCATGTGTAATGCCTTTGCACTCTACAATTATACACCTACCATCCAAAATTCACACACCCAAACAAATTTTACAAATACATTATAAATTACTGTTTAATCAGTTTTCTCCCTCTGATACTTGTGACAGCAAACATCCTTCAGTCTGATATGATACATGCATGATTCAATATTACAATATACATCTGTTTTATGACCAACAGTTACATCTGTTTTATTACACATAGTTATATGTCATACCATGGCACAGCACAACACAGTCAACTTTTTACATTGTTATTCTTGGGTTAGTTTGACGTAAGTCTCCTTCGCTTATTTACACACTAGCTCACTTCTGATTGGTAGTTCCTGAGCCCTGTGACATTCGCACATGGTTACAGGGGTGTTCCACAACGCCGTTGATATCGCGTGTTGTATATATCAGAACGCCAGTGCTTTTAACACTCCAAAAAACAAGGAGAAACCGGGTCTAACACAACACCCCCTAGAGAGTGCTGCAACCTATTTCACAGGCATTCTCTTCCTTGGAATGAAAATGTAAATGCCAGACATCGCAGAAACAAACTTGTAAATGAAAAGTGACCTACTTTTTGGGAGGGGGAGACTAATGTTGAACTAACCTTATTCTTGTACTGACAGATGATGCTTGTTCACTACTGCAAGCAGTATAACATTAAATGCAAATGCATTTCAACAAGATTAGATCTATGTTAAATCAAAAGAAACAGCTAACACTAGAGTGTGTGTACTTCAGTGGATCGCAGACCACTGCAACATTCAGGGAAATTAAAGAGAAGACTATTCAGCAAAAACTGGAAGTTATACAGAACAGCCAGATACAGAATACACTTACTAAGAAAATATCCCTGTGTGGGTTCCGGGGTCCTATCGTGGGGAAAACAAGAATGGACCCACTGTCTATGCAACAAGCATGTCATAAGAATTGACAGATTTGGGGCTACCTTCAAAGTCAGAGTGCATCTGCCAGAGAGGTGAGAAACCCAAAGTCTGCATACAAATAAGCCAGATCTGTAAAATGAATGCACAAGCAAAAGTCCTGGAACAAAGCCAAAGTCCAGAGGCTGACGAACAACCAGGTCTTTCCGCCGAAGTTTGCAGCCAGTTAATAGAAACAACAACAGCAATGAAAATAAAGCTCAGATCAAGGCAGCAATTAGAGTGGAACACTTCCCATCTAGGACACAATCATGACTCACACAAAAGAAACAGACCATTATATTCAGAATGTGTGCTGGACACAAGAGAGACTGCAGCCAAAATGTACGAAGAATTTCAAGATTGGGGATTGAGAGCTTTGCCCGTGCGGACAGGCACCACAGAATTACTGAACATGTGCTTACAGACATGCTCTCTACATGCATCTGAGAGATCCCAGATTTGACCAGTTAGCATTCTGACCTGTTCACGTTTCCAGGCCTAAGACTGGAGTAATTTCCCTTGCCATTCATGCCTCCTTAGGTCACTGGACCTTTCCTGTATTGATATTGCTTGTACCAACTTTTCAATTTTGCAGTAATTTGTAATTTTTAATTTGTGTGTGTGTGCGATGATTATTTGTAATTCCCACTGGGAAAATACTGTTTTGAATAAATAAGCTATTTAAAAATATGTGAAAAGCTGTACACATGAAGCAGTAGAGGAAGAAGTATTGAAGCTAAAAAAGCAAACACTTGTGGTTTTTTGCTGTTCTCCAAGCTGATAATGCTGCTAAAAGGATTAAAGTGCAAAGTTGAGTGGATCGATTACACTACACCTCATTTTATCACACATGGCTAAGTTTCTCCACAAAATGGCTAGCTGCAAACCATGAATGTCGCACAAGATGTGAACCCCAAGCTTTAGCGATGATCCACAGGGGTTTCCATAAAATAGCATTCATGAACCAAAAAACGGTCAGAGACATTGTCCCACAATTTTCAGAGCACGAGGTAAAGGGGCCTGACAGTATCACTAACAGAGCAACCACCCAAGTCCTGCCAGTGACTGCTAGAGGGAACCTAATGTGAGTGGTCAGAGGAAGCCATTCATTTTGAAACTGACAGCTCAGCTGTACTCCATTCTCAAAGTGATCTCCCAAAACAGCTTTGAACAATAAATAACCAGATAGCGACCCATGTGGGTTCTGGGGCCCCTATTTGGGGGAGGGTAAAGGACAGACCCACCGCCCCCCCCCCCCCCCCCCGCCCCCGTGTCCCTTATGCAACTCTGGCGCGCATGCTTGCACACACACACACACATAAACACAAAAAGGGTCCTTTATTTACACATTACCTAAGAAAACGAGAGAGACTTTTCTTCAAAAATGACCTTGGCTCCCCAGGTCGACCCAGCCTTGAGTGTGTACCGAGTGCAATCCCGGGAAGTAAAGGCGGCCGGCGTGATGCTGACCACATCACCCATCTTGTGCCGTTGGTCTATAAAAATATAGATCTAGCCCTATATGCCCTGTACGCCTAAAGACGTGGAAAGGGTCCTTTACTTTTTTTTTTTACTTACCTAAGAAAACTATGTATACAGTGGCCTTAAAAAATAATTTATCATTATAGATTGATATGATCTACAACATGGCTTCACTAATTTAGGTACAGTAATTTCTTCAGATAGCTGTTTTTATCAAAGCAATGTTTCCCGTTGTAAATTTGAACTAAGACACAAACAATAGACTGCAAAATTTAGTACTTGGCATATTTTGCTGTATCTTATCAGGTGCATACTACAGAACAATTAAATAAATGAAAAAAATCATTGAATCCTTTATAAATGAAGTACAAATTCAACTACTCAAAAGCAGCTGCAAGATTACCAGGGCAAACTGCAGTATCAAAATGATCTCTTTCTGTGTCAAAGCTCAAAACAGAATTCGCCACAATTCATTACCTCTGACATTGCAGCTGCC